TCCACTCCTGTAGAGACAGCAGAATGCCTGAACCACAAATATACGCAGGTATACGTTGTCCTGAAGCCACCCCACGGACTGACATTGTTCGCCGTCCAGAAAGAAGAGACACAACGCAAGGATGCCATCTCAGGAGGGACCCCCCCGCAGGAGTTTGGGGAACCGATGGTTCAGCCGATATGAGTGCGTGTCAAACAGAAGCATGCAGCAGTGATGATTGGTGGCAGAGCTCCCCGCGGGCTAGCCCGACTCTTTTTCCAAGAGGAACCTGCACGCCTCAGGGAGGCCATCTCAGGAAGGAAGAAACCTCTCCGCAGACTGCCGAAGCCCACCAAAGCCCGCCATGTACGAGCGGCATGCGTCGCTCTCCGCTTGAATCCCCCATCGAAAACGGAGTTCCACCTAGCTTCCGTAAGGTCTTCAACGATCGTTATTTTAGTGGAGAAAGTATCCCGAAGATAGACATCAACAGTGCCCTTGACATTCTGTGGAATGAAGGAGAGATTGATGGCCGGCAACTTTTCCGTGGTTACGACAAACTCACAATCAGAGGCTTGTTGCCACAGCAGCATCATCAATCGATACAAGGTGGACCCCAAGAGGGCGATAGAACTAATGTATTGGAAGCAGATCGCAATGCTGCCAACACAGGCTGGACCGCGGAAGCCGCCAGCCCCTTCAATGATCAGGAAAGCACTTTTACGATTGCATCGCCGACGGATCCTGTATACACGTCGCCGAAATATGGAGCACCCCAACGCCCTCTGCACCTTCGGGAAGCACGAGAAACCCCAGTAGCAACAGTCTCAGGCGGCATGATCAGCCAACCAACTAATCCCGAAAATGATACTATGGAGGTACGCCATTCGCAATCAACGCCGCGGCATGCTAAACACGTTGTCGGCGCGCACTGAAGGACCATCAAATCCGTGCATGTACTATGCATGGGCGTTTGTCTATTGATGTTATGCCTCACGTTTCGGCGCTGAACTCTGTCCGCACCACTGACGAAAGAGACACGCCTACTCGCACCTAGTACAAGTTCATCTTTGTGTCTGGTTTGTCTCTGGTCTGTGCAGGGTGCGCAAACGCCTTGTGAGAGCGACGATGCGCCGTGGAGCGGGATGAAAAAGTGGCTAAGGGACAGGGCCTCACGAGCACCGCCCACTGACGAGACACCAGATAATCAGGACACCCACGAAGCACGCACGCTGAAGAAAATGCAAGAGTTGCTGTGTCAAGCTCTGAGGTTCCAGTAGGTTTGGCTAGCTTTCCCCTTCTCCACTTTGCCCCACAGAGTGGAGCCCTTCCCAATCAGCTACCACCGGCTGCCAGTTTGCTTCGAGCTATAGCAGTATTTTCAGATATGAACAACTAACCCCTTTCTTCCTGTACTCGAGTCATAGCATTTGTGTTGTACCTGTGCTCCGCTTTTCGTCTCAGACCCCTCTGGAAGTGAAGATGCCCCTTATAGTACAGCCCAACGAAATATTATGTAACGAGCCAGAAGATGATTGCATAGCAACTGTTGACGTGGCTATACTAATCTAATCGCCTAGTCACGCTAGGTCACCTCTACTTTCAGAGCTGGTGACCAGGAGATCGCTGCATTGCACGTCTCTGGAGCAGCACTGTCTTCCTCAGCTGCTGCTTCATTTTTGCACTGTTTTACATGGCGGGTGCTTTGGCACACGCCTTCTGCTAAT